CTTCTCAATTCCAGAGAAATTTGTTAAGCAGATCTTTAAAATTATTAAAGGAATATCTAAGTAAAACATGTGAACTAAGTTAAAATTTCACAAATTTGAATTTGTAAAACTTCAAACCTGAAGCAAGTTTATAAAATAAATTAAAAATGTTTGTTATACAAATTCTGCTTGCTGGAGATTTATATAAGATGTGCATTTTATTATTAGATAACACTTCCAGCTGCAATCTTGAAATAGAGCAAGCTACTTTTTCTTAAGAAACTGAATGCAGAGATGAAGGTTAAATGCAAGGACAAAAAACACTACAAGCCCAACTGCATAAGGCGGCTATTATAAAAAGAAATGACCCTACTCAAACGCAGGTTTCCCGAGGATTCATTTAAAATTTGCATATAATTTTTTAGTATCAATTTCTTCTATTAATGTCAAGGAAAAAAAACCTTTTCTTCAGTAAGATTGTATGTACAGTACAAAAATAAGGGATAGCACTAATCTTGGTGATAACACTCTTGATTTATTTTTTTTATGTTCATACTTTCAAGTTAACACAAGCCAAAAAAATAAGTAAAAAATTCAGTAATTTTAGTTTTTTTATTGATAAACTCAAATTCATTCAATTATTTCATTAGCAAAAGATGTTAATATTTTATTAATTGTTGTATTTTAGGGTTTATACAAAACTGACTTTTTAAAAACTGGTTTTCAAATAATCTCAACTTTTCTACAAAATCAGTTAAAACTGGTTTTTAAATTTTTACCCAAAAAAGGAAATAAGAGATATTTACAACTTATTTTAAAACTTTTTCATTTATTTAATATTTGTACTCTGTACCCTCTAATACTAAAAACTACTTGTTTAGTGTCCTAGGGCTGGACGAAGTCACTTTTTCAAGTTTTTGAAGATATTTATGTAATTGATCTTGTGCAACCCGATTTTGAGGGGCTGTACTCATAAAGGATTGCTTGTAGAGGTATGGTTCCTTTGACTTTTTTGCTCCTATGGATATGCTCTACAACTCTGATAAGGTCCCAACCGTCTCAATCAGAGCTTGAATTGAGCTGAATTGGATGCTTTTTAGGCATAGGGGAACTTTTTGTTTTGTAGTTAGTTTTATGAAACTCAGTATTTAACAATATTCCTGTTTTATGCCAGATGCAATTTTGTGTCAAAATGTTATGTTTTTAATCAAATAATTAATTTTTATGTTTTAAGTGTAGGCTCAAAAACTGGTTTTTTTACTTGGGAAAACCATTTTCAAATTATACAAATTTCTTCAAAAAACTAGTTTTTCAACACTGACAAACCCTACTGTATTTAATACCTTGGCTCCTTGTAAATTATTTATTATCTTTTAATAAAATATTCGTTGGATTGAATAAAATTCCTGATACTAGTTTTAATACCAGTATTCTGATATTGAGAACATTCTTTACCAAAATACCAATATTGATAAAACCCTTTGGTATTGCCATCTCTACTCAATACTATAACTGTAGAATTTCTAGATACAGTAAAAGCTCAATATAATAGACCACCATGAGACTGAAGAAATTGGTCCTTTATAATGAAAGTCTATTTAATCATAATTGTTACTACAGACTTGTTCATTTTATTGAAAAATATATCACTATACAATAGAATCATATTAGAACAGATCTCAATTACACTGGTTTTCAACTTTAGAGTAAGTGCCATTGCATCAAAATTACATATATGAAAAAAATTAATGTTAGATTAAACTACACAAAAGAGTAAAAAAGTCCTGTACTTTTTTTAATTTAAAATTTTGCTCTATTATGCAGCCTAAATTGTTTAAAAGCAATAGTATAATACTTTTATGTTTTACTTTCTTGGTAGAACTGTTATATTTAATAAAAGCCTGTTGTAGGTTTCTCTTGCTTTCCAAATGTTTGAAATTATCTACTTACTCAAAGACATTTCTTTACCAACTTCTGGTTGAGATTTTCCATTTTTAATCTGACAAATTACATCTATTTTTTGCTTTGTAAATTCTAAAGCTGAAACTATCTTCTAAATTGATAATTTTAACTAAATAATCCTATATTTATAGGTATGGTATTTTGTTCAGCAAGTATAATATCTAAAGGTTTAAAATGTACAATTTATTCAATAAGAATTGAATAAATTCTTCATATGCATTTTGGGTTGACATGAACTCTTAACCCCTCTTCAGTGCTATATAATTTGTATGTATTCTTAAAGAAATAACTATAGGTGGAGATTCAATTTCAAGTACAACTGCATATCCAATGTTTACGAGTTTATTCATTTCTTAATCCCATGAGGATTGTTGAACATTACATTTTATAAAATTTAATATTTTTCTCCCTTTATAATCTTGGTTTGGTTACATAAAATTAAGGCAGCAGCCTAATATTATGTAAGTCACTTATAAAAATTTAAAAACTTTAAAAAGTTCACAAAAAATAAAAATAAAGGTGAATTATTAATAACCATAGATTTCTAGAATAGAAATTAGGATTCTATAAATCTGTCAAAATGTCCATCAATTTCAAGATAACAGGATTTCTAGAAGTATGATTAAATATTGAAATACATTGTGTAGTCCAAATTTGAATAATTCAAATTTGCTGTTAAGTTATTACACTTAAAATTTACATTTAAATTAGTATTAAAAAATTCAGTTAACTTGAATTTATTTAGTATAAATTTGAATGATTTGAAGCTAGTGCATCTGTATTTCAAAAATAGAAATGCAAAAAACAAATTAGGACATACTTTGTAGAATATCTGTTTTAGAGACTTTCTAAAATGCATCTTTCAGGACTGTCATATATTTCACAGCTTTAACAACATTTGTTTCTATAATAGTTTTTTTATCTATGCTTTATAGTGCCTAAGATATAAAAGTTAGAATATAACATTGAAAATACACAAATTATTTTTAGTGTAAAAAATTGAGATAATTAAAGAAGTGAAAAGAATTTAAAGAGAAAATTTATGTTAGCAAAGAGTAAGAATACTGAAGACTACTGATAAATGTAAAATTTTCAAAAATTATTTAAATTTTAGAAAACAGATCATTCAAATTATTTTGACTTCCCCTGGTTTTAGAATTAAAAGATTCAACTGTATATTCAATTCCTGTGCACAAAGGATAAACACTGACTAAAACAGATCACTAACTGATGGAGCAAAAGATGAGTCATGAAAGTTTGGATTTAGTGCAATGGCTTTGTTAATGGCAGAACAAGTTCAATTGTGATCTGAATACTTAAATATTTTTCTGTTTGAATGAAAATGTTTATTGTATAAATATTAAAGGTACAATTAGAAAAGATACATAAGATTTAGTGATGCTGAAAATGAGCTTAGCATCTCACTGAATAATAGCATATTATTATCAATAAGCTTTTGGATATCGCTGAGTATCAAAACAACTGATAGAAATAATCACTTGAACAACTCAGAAATTTACTTGGATGGAACACACACTCTTTTTATTTTATGAAGAAAGAATGCAGTTTACAAGAGCAACATGCCAGGAAACATAGTATCTGTTTATCATGCAGCATCAGAACTAAAGAAGGTATCCATGATGAAGAAACAGTGTGTTTTCCTAATTCTAATGCATACCTTTCTTTGAACTTTTCTGATCTCCAAAATTGCATCCAAAATTTTAATATGAACCCACATATTAAAATTGGGTACAAAACTTAATGCAGCCTTGGTCATGTCATTTGCTCCTCACTTTGCATATACAATCTGATGTCATCAGTATAGACATAGTACACATCCCTTTGACTATTTTATTTTCAATTTTGGTTTTGATTTTGTAATGATTTGGTAGTCTTTTCAACTACAGCAAGCCAGGTAAATAATGTCCAGCAGATGGGTCTCCTATGAAGCTAATTTTAAACAGAGAGTTATCTGCTATACTGAAGAATATATATGTACAGTACATATTTCAGTGTGCAGAGATGTAGCCAAACAGGATGGAAAGGAGTGATATTTCCCATAGTAATGCTCTTCCACAATTAACTCTGTTGATCACCATTGCTGCCCCACAAGTTTAAAAAGTAAATAGCATTAAAAAAAAAATGTCACAAGCAATTGACCACTGGATGAAATAGAAAAACAGGTGCATGAGACTCAATTACTACTAAACTACATGAAAAGCCACAAGATAAAGAAAATTAAAATTTAATATTTTATTCTTCTTCACTTAATACTTCTAATACTAATAGCACCATAGTGAGTTATCATAGGGAATGGGTGTAGGAGTTGTCCACAGTCAGTGCTGTAAATAACTGGATGGTTATATCTAAAATTAAATACGTCTGGAAACAAATGGTTGGATAGAGAGAGGTCTGGCAGCGTAACTGGCAACACATCAGCATGATAAGTGGGAGTTTCAGGTTCAAGTCCCACTCTGGGCCAATACTTATCTTCCAGAATATTCTAAATTATTTAGTAAATATTAATTTAATTATAATAAAAGCCAGTGCTTTAAAAAAGTAAATATAATTAGTGCTTTGAAAATGACAAAAAAAAAAAAAAAAATTCAAGGGAACTTTAATAAATGGTAGAAAAATTGAAAAAAAATATGTGGCTGCCAAAGGATTATTACTTTGAAGACCAGTATTATGCAAAAAATGTTGAAAAGAACCAACATATTTTATATAAAAATGTGTGTGTATGTGTGTGTGTGTATAAGAAACTATATCAAGTTTAGCCTTTTTGACTATACCCTGTGTATCACAAGCACAAAAACCTATATTTGAACAAATTCAATCAAATAAAAAGGATAATGCCATTGCACATCAAGTTAATAATAAATTCATTATTACTTATTATAATAATATAAAAAAATTTTACATTAAATATTAATTATTCAAATTAAAACTTCCTGTAAGAAAAATATTGTAAAAAAGAATAGAAAAAACTTGTTATGAACATGGAAAGAAATGAGTTTTAAATGGCATTGAAAAGAAAGTAAATAGTTAACATTACTCACTTCTTTCCTTAAGAAATACATAAAATATTCTGATGAAGTTGAGAGAGCTATAGCCCAAAGAAAGATCTGTAATGATTTTTAATTTGTAGATTTGTAATCTTTAGGTCTGTAACAATTATCTAATGACATAAAAAATAGTTCATATGGGATAAGATAACAATTATTATGAAAAGAAAGAATATGCTATATGTATTAGCAAATTCTTGACAAATTCCTGGATTTGGTTAAATAATGAATCACTATAAAGAATTAAATTCAATGGCTAAAAAATAAGGAACTGAATAAAAACAATTATGATTTCAATGTAATAAATGAAAATAATTACATACAATGTAATATTTTTATATGTGAAATAATATATTTTTAAATAGATTAATGAATCAATATGGCCTAAGCTTAAATCCATCACATGATATAAATATAACAGAAAAGAGAATAATATTTAAATTGAAATGATTTTAATTCTAAAACATTCGAATGATACGAATCTTAGTATTAAAATAATTTTAAGTTTCAATTTATAACACTGCAACATCAACCAAAAGTAATAAAAATTAAAAATAAATGATAATCTTTTAAACAAATTAATTTATTATAATCATGAATTCTGAAAATATCTTCAGATAACTTCTGATGACGAAAAAACAACAAAAACCATCTAAAGAAGCTTTTCATCTCTTAAAAATGCATAAAGTTTAAGTCCTAAAATCAAAGTTTAAAAATGCTTTAATTCATAATAATTATGAAACAGACTTCCATTATAATTTGAGAATTTGCTTCAAAAAATAAATCACTGGTATTAATATATTAAATTTAGAATTCGTGAAGGAACGTTAAATTTGATTACTAAATTTATTTTTCCCGTAATAAATTTTACATAACTTTCACAGAAATAAACCAAGTTGCCAAATATGAAAAATAATCTATATAATTGATCAAAAACAATTACTAAATTAAAGTTATTAATAACAATATAAGAAATTTGGTATATATGATATATCAATACATATTCTACAGAACATGATTGAGATTAATAGATTTTGTGTGTTATTGTAAGTAAATTTTTAATCATGTTTATAAACATTTATATTATAATATGTTCCCCTAAGTAAAATATAGCCTTATTACAGAGAATTTAGAAAAATGTAAACTATATATATATGGGTGTAATATATTCACACAGTGACTAATTTAAAAGTAATTGACTGTCGAAATTGTTTATATCTTTTATTAATTTATAAACTCACAATATAATTGACTTACTATTACGTAATATGTCATGTCACGATTACGTCTAATTATTTTTATAATATTGAAACAGACAAGTTATTACTATCGATGATTAAAGGCATCAATGTAATGAGGATCAACAGCAATCCTCGAAATTATATGACATGTCAATTTAAAATTCAATAGTATAATAGGATAAGCACGCTTTTACTTACCTCACGAATTCCTACGTGTTGTCATAATTTTATTATATGATTCAAGCTCTTTAATTTTCGCCCACAATCGATGAGCATCCTTAATAAAAATACTCCCAGACTCACCGGTGCAGGAAACAACATACACCTAAGACGCTGAAGTTCGTTCTGTTAAATCACACTAGGGGCGCTTCGCTCAGTATTTTATTCAGATATAATTTTTGATAATTAGTTTAATAAAATTATTTTTGTAAAAGTATCATTCATATTTTTTATTAAAATATTTGTCATATTAATTTCTTAATATTATTTAATCGTTAAAAGTTAATTTTAGTGAATGAATTTTGTTCGCGTCTATTGCGGTATATGTATCTATGATTTAAAGACTCGCCAGCTGCTAAAGTAGACAACTGGCGATGGACATACCTATATTTGATTTGATCGCATAGTTTACAATATACTTCAAAATGTTTTAAATTTCCAATTATATTCATGTTTAATAACAGAAACATTGGTGAATATTAAAGCATTTTGCGTTAATTTAATAATTTAACTTACAATGAATTGTGAGCGTGAACAATGGATGATCACGCTCACCCTTCCAGATAAAATAATGGATACTTTATCTTAAAGACAAGATTTGTTTAAAGAGAATTATCTGAAAATCACAGTAATGATATGAAATAATTTTACGGAAAATAAGATATCGGTCATTCAAAAGGCAAATCCACAGTATTTTATGCAAGATTAGCCAATCTCATCCATAAAATATATTTTTTTGTCTCGTAGTCATAGTATGCAGTTATAGGATAAATGGAGGATTTCGATTTGTAAAATCTTTTCTAAACAACAATAAAATTACGCTTCAGTAAACATAAATAATTCACTAGGAAATATCCTGTTAGGACTATCAAGAGTTCTTTTGGTATTTATCTTATGTATTTGATATACGCATGGGCGTAGGCAGAAAATAAAAAGAAAGCAATTGTTCTATTGGATTTCGATTAATAATAAAAATCAAGTCAAATATAAAATATTAGAAATAAATGAATTTTGATTTATAAATTTTTTGCCAAAATTCATAAAACAAGACACTGAATTTCAGAAATTAATAATTATTCTAAATTTGAAAGCACTAAAGATATTTGTATTCACATTTTTTCAAATATTTACAGACATTTTTTAAATATAAAGGCTCGGAATTTTTAATTGGGATCTTTATAATTTCTATAAATATTCTTTAAAACAGGAAAAAATTTGATTCTTTTGTTAGAAGTATTTGAAGATTTCACGATATAACCTATAAAATGATCTTCCAATATTTAGGAGCATGAACAAAAGATATTTTTAATAAAATATAATTATGATGTTAATAACTGTGTGTTGAAAATTTTATAATTAAAACTTCAAATTAATAATGTTATAATTTAAATTATGCTCTACCCTCTTTAATAAGTTACTATTAGAAATAATTTTTCCTCTTTAAGGATAAATTTCTCTTGCGAGGTCTTTTGCCTTTGTTCATTAATCAACCATGTAGAAATAATTAACAATTTATTATTAGATTTATTACTTAATTCCGGATTCATCATCATTTAATTAATAAAGATGAGCAATTTCCAATGAAGCAGTAAACCTATCACTCTAAATAAATTTATTCATTGATTACTATGTTTTTATTATGAAAATCTCTGGAGGCGTATATATATCTTTGATCTCATAAAAGTTATTTACAGTATATCAAATCAATCTATGGCTATAATTTTATTACAAAAAGAATATAATAAACGTCTGATATTCATTATTATTATTACTTAACAATATAATTAAAACAGTATATCACATATAAGCGATAATACTATATACAAACTTCATAGTTGAACTCAATGGCTCAAAAGTTTAATTTAAAAAATTTGGAAAAAGGTTTGAATTTTCTTCATATATTTGGCCATGTTACGAATAGAAGTATGGTCTATCTGTGTTAAAGTATAACAATAAGTGAATAGAAGTATCCCAATAATGATTCTATCAATCCTATTACCGAAGACGAAAGATTAAATTTTGTACATCTTTCCTTACAAAATACAATTTCATTGATTATTATTATTTTATAAAGTATTAAATTTAGTTTAATTTATTTTTCCACTTTATCTCAAACTTTGTAAACCAGAATTATTGTTATTAAATTTATTCCCTAATTTTATTGCTTATAGGCTATATACAGGGTGTCCATAAAGTCCGTGTGCAATTTAAAAAAATTATAACTTTATTAATATTTGTGATAGAGAAATTACGTAGAATGTATTGGAAATAAGAAAATCTAAATTTTTATTGTTTTGTTGTATTTTATTGTTTTCACATGTCTACCATCATTAGTAATACATAGGTTAATACGATTTTGTAATTCTCTGAAAACATTTGCCAATTGATTTACAGTAATGCCTGTAATCACATTAGTTATTTTAGCTTTCAAGTCTTCTAACGATCGAGGTTTAGTTGCATACACTATTGTTTTCACATGTCCCCCATAAAAAAAAATCTAATGGAGTCAATTATGAAAAAGAAGTATTTTTAAAGTTTCAAAAAATTTTTAAATTATTGTGTTGAAAAGTTACTAAATACTTTTACTTAAAATTAGTTATATTAAGCTTTCTAATACTTTTTATAGATATTTTCTATCACAAATACTAAATCACTGGTATTAATATATTAAATTTAGAATTCGTGAAGGAACGTTAAATTTGATTACTAAATTTATTTTTCCCGTAATAAATTTTACATAACTTTCACAGAAATAAACCAAGTTGCCAAATATGAAAAATAATCTATATAATTGATCAAAAACAATTACTAAATTAAAGTTATTAATAACAATATAAGAAATTTGGTATATATGATATATCAATACATATTCTACAGAACATGATTGAGATTAATAGATTTTGTGTGTTATTGTAAGTAAATTTTTAATCATGTTTATAAACATTTATATTATAATATGTTCCCCTAAGTAAAATATAGCCTTATTACAGAGAATTTAGAAAAATGTAAACTATATATATATGGGTGTAATATATTCACACAGTGACTAATTTAAAAGTAATTGACTGTCGAAATTGTTTATATCTTTTATTAATTTATAAACTCACAATATAATTGACTTACTATTACGTAATATGTCATGTCACGATTACGTCTAATTATTTTTATAATATTGAAACAGACAAGTTATTACTATCGATGATTAAAGGCATCAATGTAATGAGGATCAACAGCAATCCTCGAAATTATATGACATGTCAATTTAAAATTCAATAGTATAATAGGATAAGCACGCTTTTACTTACCTCACGAATTCCTACGTGTTGTCATAATTTTATTATATGATTCAAGCTCTTTAATTTTCGCCCACAATCGATGAGCATCCTTAATAAAAATACTCCCAGACTCACCGGTGCAGGAAACAACATACACCTAAGACGCTGAAGTTCGTTCTGTTAAATCACACTAGGGGCGCTTCGCTCAGTATTTTATTCAGATATAATTTTTGATAATTAGTTTAATAAAATTATTTTTGTAAAAGTATCATTCATATTTTTTATTAAAATATTTGTCATATTAATTTCTTAATATTATTT